GGATCCTATACAATTATTATGATTTTCCCCATGATATTACTCATCATCATACCAGTATTATCTATACTATTGATAATATTACTATGATTGCCCACATGGTATTATGATATATTATTATTATTATACCATAAGTATACCATTATATACTAGTATGATTGTCCACATATTACCATGATAATTATTATGATATCCCCATGATAATTATTTGCTGCCTCAACACCGGAGGATTCAGAAAAACGGATCAATCCATCCGAATCCCACCTGCAAAGCCAAAACGCCAACTGAAAGAGCTCCGGAGGCCACCAGGAGACTTGAGGCCACCACTCCTGGGTGCCCAATTTGAAGGGTGAACCATTGGAATTTCACGTATTTTAACGTATTTGAAGCAAACATCACATGTTCAATGGGATTTGAAGGATCAAAACTCTGATTTTGAAGTAACAAATTGAATTTTGAGCTGGAATGACACTTGAAAGCAATGGGGTTGGCTTGATTATGCTTGATTTCGGTGGAAAGTCATGGAACATATTGGAAAATTGGGTCTCCCAAAATGGAGTGTGCCAAAACTTTACCAACAATCGAGACGTATTCAACACCCAGTGGCCCAGGCCTCAAAGACCAGTCGATTTGCATCAGCTATAGCTACAGAAATTGAAGCGATGTGAAGGACAAATATGATCGTTGACCATCTGGCGTGAGGATAACCAATAATGAAAAAAACATATCCATCACTAAGGAAGAAATGGAATTCGAGCAACAGAAGTTGCTGGAATCGTAGGCTGCCAGCAGTAAAAAGCACAGCACTGCACCCTCAAAGCTTAACCCATCACCAGGAGCCAGTTGGATCATCTCCAGTGAACACTAGCCTCAAAAAAGGCTGGAGCAAATGGCTGCTATTAACTCATTGACCACTATTAACAGGCATCAACCATTATGAATAAGTACCGTTAACATGTATTAACCACGATATTTTCATCACTAAACACTATCAACAGGCATGAACCAATTACTATTAACATCCTATTAACCACTATATGTTCATCCCTTACTAAACCATGTTAACTCCTATTTTCAGATATGTTCATCGATTTTCATCACCAAACCATGGGTTTCTCAGGGTGTTTCATCATCTTCCACCGAGCATCGAGCTCCGTGTCCAGCTCCTCCAGCACCGTGGCCGCCGCCAGCCGCCGCAGCGACGGCGCCATGGCGGACGGCACCCCGCGGCAGCGCAGGCGACGGAGACTCCCTAGAGAGACACCGGTGGGTGAAGGGAGATGAAGTAGGGCCAGGTCTGATGAAAATTATTTTGTTTAAGTTATAATTGTAAGAATTTAAAAATCTATAAAGATCTTTTTCAAGATCCTATAAATCTGATGAGTACTTGATTTTTTCTCGACATTTCAAAATACACGAAACGTTGGACATATTTTGAACTTCATCTGTGAAACATGATTGATGATCCAAGGTAACCACCCTGCCTGCCTCCCGGTGGAATAGCAGAGTCGTTCAACGCCAAGCACTCCTTGGATGAGATGGGCGGATTGGAGCTACTTGGAAGCCATTTGAAAGCACAACACATCATAATACATCCCTAAACGTAAAGTACTTGGAAGTACAATATGCGTGTATAAATATGTACATAGATGTGAATATGATTGAATATTTATATAATAATTCATATCACTATGATTCACTATGTATCCTCAGTCCATTCACTTCTACAAATAGTTGATTACAAACAATAGAACAGTAATTTACCACCATTCCAGCATTCTTTCTAGTTTTTTCCCCCCAAAATCCGCCCAGGCGCGCGTCAGAAGCGAAAGGTCTGTGCTATGTTTCAGGGCAAGGTTTCGGCGAGCCGTCCATGGCGTCTTCGCGATGAATCCGATCTTACCAAATTCATCCAAATTCCATACTGGTTGGTGGTTTCAACCCCCCTTGAAAAATATGAGTTCGTCAGTTGGGATGATTTTTCCCAATATATGGAAAGTCATAAAAGCATATAAAAGCCATGTTCCAAACCACCAATCAGATTATAATAATCTACTATTATCCATTGAATTGATCATAAATAGTGACATACCATGACATACCTATTATCCACCGGCGTATGTTTGGGTTTCCCATTTCCCCTTCCGCAGTTCACATGTCGCTTTTTGCACGGCCAGCGTCCGAAATGTCCAAGGTCTGCAGCTTTGGCGCGCTTCGGAGGACATGCCTCAAAAGAGCCTCCAGCGATACTCAGGATCAGTGGATTTAAGGGTACCCCATTTCCAGTTACTGCGTCGATTTTTAGTTTATTACAAACGAATTGCATAAAAGTTCAACAAACTTCTGTGAACACTTCAAGCAAATAATTCTGCTTGGTGGTTTTAACCATCTTGAAAAATATGAGTTCGTCAATGGGAAGGATTATCCCATATATTGTGAAAAATAATCGATTCATGTTCCAGTTCCCACCAACCAGTGATTATTAACCATTATTAACCATCATTAACCATCATTAACCATCATTAACCAAATAAACATGGCTTTCAACCATAATGCTTATCACCTGGCGATGAATCGCCAGGAGTTGAGTGGGATCAACTAAGGGGCCTCACCACAAATTTATTGGGTCCAGGCGAGCCTGGCCCCGGTGGATCTGACTGATCTGAATGATCTGAATATCTACCTTTTGGTAATATGTTACATAGCTATTGAAAATGGCCCATTTATAGTCTAGTTGATTTACCCATGAATAGCCTGGTGATTTTCCATGGCTATGTTGTTTGGTGTCTATTCACTTTCACTTCGTCCAACACGGTCCCAATCTTCCATGCCCAACCCCTGGGTGCCCAGGACAGGATCCAAGGCGTGGCAATGGGAGCAGTCCAGGTCCAACAAACTCTGCAGAAAACTTTGCCCTGCAGCACCAGGAACCGTTTTTCGTGGGATTTCTTTGGATTTCAGCAGTGAAAAGCATGGTTTAATATGGTTCCAGGTGGTTTAATTAATATGATTTATATAATAGCGTTTCTATGAATGGCTAGAAATGGATGATTTTGATAGCGGTGACCAGTTTGAGGATGGGGCATGGATTCAACCAAGCCTATAGACCATGCTAAGACTATTGAAACCCAGAAAAAAATGTTTTGTGGATACGGCTGATCAACAATCCACAAACAAACAGCATTAACCTGTGATTCAAAACAATTGTGTCAACATATCTTAGGAGGCTACAGCGAACCTGAAGAGGTCAGGTGTTGTATGTGCATATGTGCTACGTCTGCAAGAAGCAACACAAAATAACATCTCTTTCACAACAAACGATAGGAATGCACCCATCTACGGCCTCGCGGCAAGGCCTCAGAGCATGGAAGGCGAAGTCGCATGCTGCTGCAGCCCAGGCCTGACATAATAAGGGGGGGAATGTGGTGAAAAAATATGGAATAATCACAGGTTCAATGAAGTTTATATGTGGTTCTTAAAGTCTTAGTTTGGTTTAGTGGGACATATTGCTATCTTTCCAATGTAAACAGAACTGAGCAGTCTAGTGGGCTCTCCAAAACGATGTTTTTTTTCAAGTTGCAGCTGTCAAATCCCAAATAAATAGATATACAATGATATACAACTCTTTGCGGGATACTCATGACACATCTTCTGTTTCCAGATGCCCTACATTTTATCCGATAAAATATCTGATTTCAATGGGTCAAATGATGAAAAAACCCCTGGCGCCTCCGCCGGATGGCCACTGCACCCGAGCGCGCCAGAAGAGGAGCTCCAGCTCCAAGCGCCGCAAGGAGCCCAGCCCTGCGACCATCGGAGATATGGCGGATGCGCATGGGGAAAAGACGAGGATCATTTGATTTCTTAAAACCACTGATTTTTGTTGGGTATGGCTTTGAATGTTTGAAGTCCCTGATTTTCAAAGTGGGCATTTTCACTTTGTAAACTGCTTGGGGGGCATCACTGCATGGTGAAGCTCACTGCATGGTTTCCATCTTTTTGGGGATCGAGTTCTAGAATCCACCAGCGCAACTCAGGCGGTCAACAAGGATCTTCCCCAACAAAAATCCAAAAACCAATTCCGATCTCCGATGCAGCCTCTCTTCGTCCTGATCTCCCGGGATTTGACCCAGTAAAATTCTCTTCGTGGCAATGGGATAATAAATCACATGATCTTGTGATAAATACGGCTATTTATAAGTTCATGTAATAGATAGGTTATATATGGTTATATGTAACTATCCAAAAATCATCATAGGTTATATGTAACTATCCCATATGTGCGACGGTCAAAACTCAATTCATGTGGTGAGGTCATGGCATCGCTTCGCAAGGCCCCCTATAGCTACACACAGTCCCAGCACCCTTTTCACCAACTAGGCAGAATTGCTGCTAGAAGAGGAGGATCCAGATGAGGAATCGGATTCTTATTCCTTTTGCGCTGGTATCTCCAGGGAAATTCAAACTTTTACGTGATCACCAAGGCTGACGTCGACAGCTTCAGCTAGACACCAGCCGGACTCACTGCAGGTCATCTGACCTCGGAGGCTGCCCTTGGCTTGTGTTGGCTTGTCTTGGCTTGTCTTGCCTGTGCTGCCTTGTTTCCGGCGCCTTTTTTTCTTCACCCCGCCTCCTTTGCAACCTAATACCACGCCAAAATGAATCGGCAAAACCCTCACCAAATGAACCCTTTAAGAACTAACCCATTAAGAACTTGAGGGTACCCTTGTTCATACTTCCCATATTTTTCCACCTATAGCACAAGTTGTAAAGTTTCAAGTGGCCATGTGGGGTACTCCCTAATTTCATGGATTTCAGGTATCGCTCTGGGTATCGAGGGGTATCGCTTCGGGCATCGCTACGGGGACCAGAAAATGTGTGATCTCAGGGGTATGTTTCAAGTGACACGAAATTCTGACAAGCTCCATGTTGCAATTCTACTCCTTGTGGAAGTGGCTTTGGAGAAGCGTCCGTGACCGCACAAGGGTGCTTTTTCAACATATCTCAGCACGGTCACTATCTGAATCAACATCATCACCATCACCATCATCATCAGCATCATCACCATCATTAAGCTCATGATGCGTTATGAATTAGTTTCTTGCATACCTTATCGATCAACATACCCCAAAATATCAACATTGTTTAATGTAACTATCTCATATATACTTGACGACAGGCCATCTTGCAACTACCCAGGAAGACCAGCCCACTGCGACTGCTCCAGTGTCGCACTCTGACATCAAAAGATTGGAAAGTCATGCGCCCAACAGGAAGGTTCAATCATAAACAAAGTCTAAAAAGAGGTATCGCTACACAAGGCCCCCTATCGCTACACACAGTAAATTACATGTTTTGAGTAGTGATGGCGGATCGTAATTGAAGCCTTTCATAGCGTCTTTTGACTATTGCACATATGTATGTTCTAGTCATTCCGAATGGATTTTCCAGCCATGTTACATAAATTGCACCGGCCAGAGATCCAAAGGGTAAGGAGGATCCGATCATAGATGAATTATCCCATGAAACCCCCATGAAGCCTTGTTCAATTCTCAAAGATTAAGCCACTAAAGCCGATTTACCCCCATTGAACCCTGTTCAAGCCTATTATAATATACTGAACCCCATTAAATCCCACAATCCCAGCAAATCCCATTCGTAGCACTCCCAGGGTGCACCATCATGGCCACACCTGTGAGATCCAAATCAGACAACTTTTGGGAGAACAGCGTGAAACACAAGCCGTTCTGCTTGGCGCCTGGCCATGGTTTTTTTTGGGGTTCTTAACGTGAGGGACTTTACTGAAATCCATCCCACTAAAATAGATGGTTTCGGAATGGGAAAAACACTTGGATGTGAGATTCTTCACTTCAAAGAAACACCTAGTTTAAGCCCAGTTCTAATAGTCAAACAAACATGCATAACATGGTCACAGATGGGAGCCCACTCTGTCCAAACAACGGGTTGCATGGGGATTTGACCTGACAAAAATCAGCCCTTCCTGCTAATTGATTTTGCCAATTAAATTTAACACTAAATGTGGCAAACCAATAGTAGACCTTAATGTCTTTAAGTAAATCTCCAAACTCCAAACGGCAAGAGCAAGCAAACAATATCTATGCATAGCTATGCGTTGTTTTCGGGTTTACCATATATCTATCATATTGGGGGCTGGTGAGATTATATTGTTGGCATTTGATCAGTGGGAGGGCCCTAAATTGTGGAACATTCTTTTTCAGGGTGATTTTTTCCGGACCAAAAAATACACTGTTTTTTTTCCAGGAGCAAACATAATTGAATAATGCCAATGACCTTCATAAGGAACTTTTTATGGGTCCCAAAACCTAGGTTTCCAGAAGGATTCGAGGCCAAAACAATTCTTCAATGGGATAGCCCATGAGCCACCAGCTTACTGAATACTGGAAGCGTTGGGGCAGTGCTCACTGGCTTACTGTAATGTTAAGGACAGTCCGGACAGCTTTTGGTGAAAACCCAATGGCACCAGTACGTTACTACAGCGGCAAAAGGAATCAGGAAACAAAGGAAGGAACAAAGGAACAAATCAAGGACAAAAAGGAAGAACTAAAGGTATGAAAAAGAAAAGGAAGAAATCAATCAACAAAGGAAGGAAAGGACAAAGAAACCAAGACGGAAAAGGAAGAAAGAAGGAAAGGAAGAGATCAAGGAAGAAAGAAGTTAAACAAGAACTTGTTTTAAAGAACAAAGGAGAACAAGTGCAATCATGAAAAATTAGTCCACTATTTACAGTACAAAGTCTATGACTCTAAAATACTGGAAGATCCTCTCTCATCCCCACTCACGAGTTCAACGCAGGAATATAAATAAATCTTAATGATTTCAATATCACAATCCTTAGATAATGATATTCCTTAGGTTTTAGCCTTTCTGTTTCAACATCTACCGAAACTGGCGCCTTAGCCGGTCATGGGCTCCATGGGATCCAATGGATGTGCTCGCGCAGGCGACACGAAATGGCTCACCATGGGCAGATGGAGTCCTAAGCGCTGCACGGACGGACTAAGGGGTCATCAAATATGGCATTCACATGTTTTTTTGTTTTTAACCATTTTAACCAGGTTTTCATGGGAGAATCATTCTCATGGATTTTCCATACATCAGATCGAAACACGGTCAATCATCAGGGAAATCAAATTGGGCCATGTGATAAATTCCATAAGCGAGAACAGCTTTGTTTTCTCATACAAGAAGGCAACTGAGGTATCCATCCGTTGCAGGGTTGAACTAACATGATCCCCGTTGTAACCATAAAACTGGCTGATGAGTGGGATCCTAAGCCGCTTGTGACGACTGGGGCAAATCAAGTGAGAAACCAAAGCCGTTTCTCTCAACACTTTCGTATGACAAGAAGCAAAAGGATCCAAACAGTCTCCGTCACTATGTGTTTGTCTAGATTCACTAAGTCATTGATGATTACTTCAATCATGTTAAATCGCAATGTTCATGGTGAATCCACAGCTTTGGCGGGTGCAATGTCCATATCTTCTTGTTGCTTCTATAATCCAAACGCATTCACACCCACTTCTCCCCACTTCTAGTTTCAGATCCAATTCTGGTTGGTTCAGTCCCTACATCTTGGCATTTCCCTGCTGAGAGGCTGAGCTCGAGCAAGTCGCTCCAACGGAGAGAACTCAAGTCCAGCTGAGCAAGCCTCCATTTGTGGACTCTGAACATCTTTGAACCAGGTAATTTGGGTGAGGGGGGTTAGCATGATTAATGTGCTAAACCCAAGAATGCACCTACGAACCATCCCCAGATTCACCATAGAGTGGTAGAAGCTATCCCCAAATGGTAGGCGTATGGGTTTCCCACATATAACCGGTTTAAGTATAGCATAGTATAGCCATAGTATAGCCGTAGTATAGATGACGTATAGCAACATTTCTCAACATTTCCGGTTTTTGAGATACCCTCTGGTAAACTAACATAGCTATGGAAAATCACCATTTATAATAGGTAGATCAACTATAAATGGGCCAATTTCCATAGTTATGTTAGTTTACATTAACCAGGTATTAAGCACCACTAACCACTTGTTATAACCAGGTATTAACCACTATTAACATAATCGAACCCACTAACCCAACGTCACGGTCTCCACGGCCTGTCACATGTCAAGCACACCCTCCGCGGTGTCGCGGTGGTCACCGTCATCGGTGGCATCTTCAGCAGCGTCAGCTGCGGCGCCACCAGGCGGAGGAGGTGCAAACGATGGGCGCGGCTGAGGTTCAGCTGCAGCTCCTGGTTTAAAAACCTGGGGATTTCACAGGAAGTAATACAGGAACCAAGAAAAATGGTGGTTTGATAAGTTTGATTTGATGTGGTTTCATGATGTTTCATGTTGATGAAGGTTGCAATGTCACATTTTAAAGACCGTGGTATTGACCTGATGTGGCTATATGTGGCCAACAACATTTGGATTTGAAAGCAGCAATTTTTCAATGATATATGCCGAATCACCATGAGGTTTCATTTCAATGACATGTTTCGTCATTTCTTCCTATTTCTTCCAGGAAAATGCTTGATAATCTTGGTTTTGGAGCGCTGCGACTTTGCCCAGAGGTATAGGCACTTTCAAATTCCGCTCGCAAAATGGGTCAAACAATGACACAAATACAATGTTCCCATATTTTCCCTAACAACTACGAAATTTACCATAGATTGGGTTTGATTCCAGTTGGTTCTCGTGGTGCCTGCAGCTCCAAAGTGCTCAGCTGCAGCTGCTCCACATCTGCGCAGTTCTGCAGCTGCAGTTCGGTCAAATGCGGCAGCTGTGCCAACAAATGCGCCCTGATGCTTGGCTGCGGGGCCAAGAAAAAGTGGATTGGAGATGTTTAGAGTCATTTTCACCATTAAGACAAGATTTGAAATTGCAAGTTTGGATAGTTTTGGAATATCCAGATTGATTTGAAACCACATCCCGACTTTTAAGCACCTAAGATAGGAGTTCAACGACTAGAATAACCCTGGGCATCACCTATTGATTCTAATCAATATTCTCAAACAAAAATCAATAATTTTTATTGATTTCGAGCCTGGCTTTTTCAATAGAAAACCAGCAAGGAAATTTGTGGAAAATCAATAAGCATGGCACAAACGAAAGAAAGTGCAATTTGATCAAACTTGATCAAATTTGATCAAATTTGGGGGTTTCAGAATCAATACCCAAATCAATAGCGAAATCAATACAGAAATCAATATTTTTAGAAAACAAAAAATATTGATTTATTTCGAGAATATTGATTAGAATCAGTAGTCGATGCCCAGGGAAACATCAGATGCGGCTCACTTCGTTAAGGCTTCGTTAAGATTTGAACAAACAACAGTTGAGATTGGACCTAAAGCCAGAAAAATGATGACAATCATCAGGTTTCCAACATTTCCCCTCTATTGATAATTATTCATATTAATTGCTGCTTTATACACATACTGTTCCATTATACAGTATATGGTCCCCGCAATGTCGTCCGATCTTTGAACGTTGAATGAAATCATCAACTGCAGGTATCCTCTTGTAAACAGAACATGATGTGATGGAACCATTACCCATGAATTGTTGCCGTAGCTGAATTAATTACTTCTTGAACATGTTGTTTTTTTTCTCTAGCCACTACAGTAGATTGACCTTAACTGGGGTATCACCACCAAACATCACCAAAGGGATTTCATAATTTACATTGCCAACAATGAACATGAGGTTATCTGATTTTCATGATGTGTTGCAGATCAACTTCGCTCTGTTGCCTGTCTTTCATCGGTTGGTGAAGTGTCCCATTTCTTTATTAGCCATTCAACCTCCCCTGCAGTGCTTTGTGACTCATTCAACCCATCTTTAGTTTTTAGTCATTTAAACATGCCATATCTTTATGAAATCATCAGCTTCCGTTTCCTTTTCTGGCCATTGAACCGTCCATAAGTTCTATCAACACCAGATCTGGCTACATCGAGAAAGGCTACATATGTGTCTGGCTATATTTTTGGCAACACTTCTGTTAAGATCTATTGAGTCATAATATCTTCTTTAATTATATCAAACCTTCAGAAACTCTCTTATGGTTAACATACCAATATCCAAGTGTCCACAGTGTCCCCCTTGTGACTATCATTCACCCTCTGGTAAACAAACATAGCTATTGAAAATTGCCATTTATAATTTTTATAATGTATTTACCGATTAAAAATGGTGATTTTCCATAGTTATGTTAGTTTACCAGAGGGTACCATCTGGTAAATGGAACATCTCCCATTTATGGAGGATGTTCCCCATGAAACTCCATCTAATTCAGGGATTGTCCATTGCCATTTTGGACTGCCAGTATATCTATCAGCTATCTATTGATTGTCCATTATCCACTAGTTATCCAGGAGTTACCCATTAATATGCCATTCTCTATCTCTCTCTGTATATATATATATAACTGACTATCTATATATATATATAGTTGGTTCATTATTGTTGGATAAATCAGGTCTATCAATTCACGGGTTACAACAGCATAAAAACCACCTGCCGGCATCCGAGGCGCAACTGGCGCGTGTGCATCTGCTTGCAGCCGCTGAGCCGCAGGCACCGCAGCGGTGCTTCGCTGTCCTCGGGCAGCGCCAGGGTTTCGAAGGCCTCCAGGAGTTCAGTCCGGGCGAGGCCAGCGGATGGTTCAAACAAAGCCATGGGAAATCCTCTGGGAAATCCCCTGGTCCAATCAAAACCGTAGTGAAATCCATTGAAATCCAACTTCTGGGTGAAATTCGTGGCAAAAATTGAGGTGAAATCCTCATGGATGCCATTCCATCTGGGAATCCCCCACAAACACCACGCTTCACATTTTTTTCGATGCCGAAAAAACACCCCTCGTAACTTTCCATTTTTGGATGGATCTTTCATCATTTAACCAGTGATCCTTGCCAGTGCAAGCTCCACTGTTCCAGCTACTGCCCGGGCATCTCCACCTTGAAATGCACCTGCAGCTCGCTGAGCTTTGCTTGCTTCAGCTGCAAGCTGCGCAGTTCCTGGGCGAGCTGTGGGTTCCATGGAGCCCACAGAAAAACAACAGAACGCAGATCGTGACAACGCTTAATCACTATATAAGTATATGTTAATTATACAGGTTATACATACCATTATTCTAATGATTTAATGCATCACTATATATATATAAATAAATACTGGTATGATGTAGATGTTATTCTGATGTGTTTGCCGTGAAATCTCACATCTTCCATGGGAAACAAAAGGACCTCCATGGGAAGTTCCACCAAGCTGCCCCGGCCGTCGGAAGGGACAGGCGTTGAAGCCGTGGAGTCGCCAGCGTGAGCCTTGGAAATGGCAGTTTCAACGGGAAAATGTGATAAAAACCAGAGAAAAATAGGAAAATCAGAAACATATGAGAAAATCATGGAACTATATGGAACTAATAGATGGGTGGTTTTACAGCAAACAATGTTTGACGTCTGACCTCCCGAGGATAGACTGAGAAAATACGTCAAATGAACGGGTTGAACTGAATCGAAATAGTGAGATGACCCAATGGTGATGTCTTTGCTTCTTGATGAATTTCTTAATGAATTTGGGGATGGGAGTGCTTAAAGGAGCATCCCATAAATCGTAGCCGGAGAATAATCTTGTAAACATTTGGCTACGAACCATGGAATGATCCTCCAAGCGTTTGAACAACTATGACTGGCTCGTAAACCCATGCCATGAACCCCTTTACCATGCCCCAAATGAATCAGTTAAACCATATATTTTTTGGAAGAAAACCAACTCTTCGAAACCAGTTTTTTCATCCCATCCTTGTCGATCCCTGTCTCCGGGCCCGCCTCTGTAGGGAGCCGTAGACGGTCCACTCTGAGAGGTCCAAGTGTTCTAGGCTCGGCACCTGGTCCACTGATTTCAATGGGGATTTCAATGGGACTTAACCATTTTATATATAAAAAGAGATCAAAATAGGATTTAACTATTTTTGTCAGTGGTTAGAATGGCTTTATGGGGCAAAAAGCATGCTTTAACTATCAACGATATGGATAAAATGGTGAGTTCAATGGGATATTCATAGCTTTATAGTGGCGCTGAACCCACGGTCGCAGGTCACCAGAGTCACCACATGACCAACCCCCTCATCATTGATGAACTCCCCACACGTTGCCTTTTAAACACTGTAACTCTAATGTGTATCAATATATATATATATATGTATTTTATATATAATATTATTATATATACATATATATATATATATATCAATGTATGTATCAATGTAGCTACCTGTGTGTGTGAGCGATTCCATTATGCTGAACCATCCCATTTTTTTTGGTCGTCTCAGCACCTCCAAGCACAAGTCCTTCAGCTCTAAAGCGTCAGGAAGCGCCAGCATGGCATCTGACAGCGATGGTTCGAAGGCCGGTGTTGGCAATGGGAACGATGGCAAAGCATGATGAAACCGTAAGGGAACCATGGCAGCGATGGCATTCTGAATTTTATTCCCGTAAAACCATGTTTTGAGTACAATAAAACTCCGTTTAGTAAAAACAAAACTGAGGGAACAGTCAGGAAGGAAAGGGGGAGGGGGAGGTGTTTCCCAAATATCTAAGGCTTCAACCCTGTAGAACACCCCTTGATGTTTCAAAACTGCAAACTGCCCATTAGGCCTTCGGCTGATTTTCAAAATTGCAGCCAGGCAAATCAAGCTAGTTGGTAGAAGTTCTATCCCATCCCAATCTCTGTCCCAAATCTCTGTTCTCTTTCTTGTATCATTTCACTGCGTTTGTGGGCTCTATCATCACCTCACCTATGCTGATGGTGTCACATTTGTTGTGGGTTTCTACGGCCCCACTAACTGATTCAACTCTACCTGTTCTGAATCAACAACACGATCATGACTCCTCTTAAGTGAGCAAACAGGAACCAAGGACTTACCAGCCATTGATGACCTTTGGTAATCAACGTGGCAATAACACAGCAACCAGTTCAAGGTGACTTTCCACTTGAAAGCAATTTTTTTCTAGTGTAATTTTTGCTTGCTGGGTGACAAGGAATTTTCAGAATGTAATGTACGATGCCTGCTTTGATGGGCCTGCCGTTTCCGAACTTGCATGCATCCGTCATTTGTTTCATCGGACACCCGCCAATTTTGATGGTAAACGTGGTGAAAGTCTCTATTCAATGGACTCTATTCTCATGGTTAAAACATGATATAAAAAATAGATATAGTTACAGTATATTCTCCGATTTGTGAAGCTTGACCGCCCGGTTGTTACTGCTTACTGGCCCAGCAACCACCGGCCGGCCATCCAGGCGCCTGCCCTGACCGAGAGCTCTTGGAGGTGACTGAAACCGCGAAGATTTGGCACCTCCGGAGGCCAACGGCAATCAGGTCTCGGTGGATTCTCCACTATCGATATTGAGGAACTCCCCAATATGATATATAGAGTCTTAGGAGTATCCCTGGGATATATCCAATAATACTTTGATATTGGGGATATATATCTATATATCCATACTGAATATAATTTGCTACACCCAACAAAAATTATGGAGATTTATGGAGCATCTGGCTTATCGCAGTCCTTGAGAGAAACATGACCACAACAGGTTGTTTTCTCCGAGCTTAGATACTTCCAGAACTACTAACTACTAACATTGGGAAGTCATTTTGTGGTGGAACATCGATTCGATCATCCTGGAATGCTCAAAATGGGCCGTGGAACTGCCAAAGCAGTGGAAAAAATCGCAGACGGAGCTAGAGAACAAAGTAAGACAAGACAAAGTCTCTTGCTACCGATTGCGAATTGTAAAACAAATATGGAGGAATAAAGATAATTTCATCAACTAGGCAAACCCTCAGTCATTAGAGGAATTTGTATGGGCATCTAAAAATGAAAACCCATGATTGTACTATCTCATCGAGCACCACGTCGTCAACTCATTTTATACAAGAATCCAAAATGCGTCAAGAAAATGACGTAGCCAATTAAGCTGAAACTGACGAAAACATCTACAATATCAAATTCCTTCGAAATAAACAAAAAGCACACTGCGACATCTATCGTTGATGATTATGTGGGAGTTTCTTACAGTGGAGGATCTCCAAAACCATGTTTTTTTTGTTTACATAGCCGTTGAGCCGTTCTAGTCCGCGACTTCCGGCCATTGGCCCATGTTGGCCCTGCAGTCTAACTTTAAATGATTTCTGGGGCTACCCTTTAGATGATTTAGATAGTCTAACTTTAGCCTAACTTTAGTCTAACTTTATAGCCACATGGGGGTTTCCTGAAATGGTGGTACCTTTGACATCATCCACTTTCATAGGATTTTCCATCAGAAAAACTATCCTTGACAAACAGGATCCCCCCATGTGGCAGAACTCGCGCCTCGTTTCCATCGACATCTTCCACAAGATCCTGAGGGACATGGAGGCCATCGGGACTCTTATGGGATGTTCAGCAACAAAAAATAAAGAAACCACCAGTTTTTGACACAAAAACATCATCAAAAACTGGTGTTGATCTGAAGATGTGATTATATGTGATGATTGTAGATGATAATCATGCTCATTATATCCACTTATTATGGTTTAAACTAATGATGATTATTTATCATAGAACTATCCAAAACATGATTATCCACAATTATTGGTATCTGAAAATGTGATGTTGTGTGCTGTCACCAAAATATGCAACATTTTCTCCAGCAGAAAAAACGGGTTGTTAATCAAAAACAATGGAATTAAGCTGGCAATAGCGATATTAGATATAAATCAGATACAATTTTCAAAAACAGTCAGCAACCATCTTCTGGTCAAAAAAAAAGGTCCCTTCCTCCAAAATGCAAATGAAAACAAACTATGTTCAGCATACTGTATGTGACCCGCAGGTACCAAAATCATGTTCCACTGTGTTCCAATTATTTGAGCCAATAATTAATATATATATATATATGTAATATATGTGACAACATCAGATCAACATTCAGATTTCCAATGTCAGTTTTCAATAGTTGTCAATAAATACAGTACAGATATACAACATCTCAAAAAATCACCATGTATCTGGCTAAATTATAGCCAGATTGGTTTCACAGTCATCATTAACCGGCCGAAACTGGGGATGATCCTCCTGATGATCTGGTGGATTGATTCATATCCCGTGATATCCCCATGACGTCACTTACTTTTCCGAGTAATCACCATTGATTACCAGCAATTGCCATTAGTCACCATAAAATGTTAGTTAATAATGTCAATGATTCCATGAATCACCATAAATCACCAATTAATCAACATTAATCACCATTATAACCACCATACCATCACCATATCACCATCACTTATCCCATTCATCACCAGCATTCCACAAGAACTCCAGCACCAAGGCGCCAGGTCCAAGCGTTGCAGTCTCCGCTGCTTCAAGCGCCCCAGGGACGTGACAGCCGCAGCAGCGGCGCCAGCAGACAGCTTCAGCCTTGCCGTGGCAGTCTCCGACATCGCTTTTAATGACGGGGACCGAATGGTAACTATACCATAGCACTATCAAGTTTCATATGGTTATTGGATATAAAATTGAAATGTACCTCAAATAGGTTATAGAAAAAATATGATATTAATGTTAATGATATTGGGATAAATCTTGTTTAAGAATTGGGGATAATTCATAACCAGAGGTAATTCTAAATTTTCCTTGGGCAGTCCAGTATGGCTGGGAAATACCACATAGAATCGGCATGTAACTGGGAATTCCCCGCAAGCCATGTCTGCTTACGTTACTAACGAATATATATATATATATACATATCCACATATAACCATGGGACCATGGGTTTAGGAAGAAAATGGGATTTAACCAGCCAAAAGCGTGACTTAATCACCAGCAATGGGGATCTAATCAACAACAAAGGGTGACTTAAGTACAATTAAGCGACAACAGTTCAATAGGGAGATTTCATCAAGGAAAGCGGGGATTTAACCAACAAATCTCAAGTTTGAAGCCATTGTTTCAACGGCTTGGTTTAAAGTTTATTCAGAAACATCGCAACCCGTTGAAGCCATGGCTATATTCTCTCCATCAACCAGCGGATGGGAGCTGTGGATCAAAGCTGTGGCTATCTTCGAAAATCCTGTGGGTTGGTCTCAGCACGGCAAAAAGCGAAAAGATTTGACAATGCGAAACTGAGATTTAACAATCATGAGGATGCATGGGTTTATTATTTTTGGATTTTGATGGGCAAATATGGGTAATAGCATGTTTTAGCCAACCACCACAATGTATGGCGATTTCATGGGAGTGTGATGATGAATAGTGGGATTGTTAACCACTTCATGGGCATACGGCTGTGGGTCAAAGCCTACGCTCCTTGTACTTCATTGTGCTTCAAACATTTTGGGACAACCCCAAAATGGAGGAAAATCGACTGAATCATCAATAATTAAATGGGAAGTTAAACAAGAGAATTGCCTCAAAAGAGAGGGGGGTCCGACATTTTTGGACAACCCGAGTTCTTGAATTTCCAATGACAATCTACTGAGCTCCTGAATCCTGATCCCAGCACAACGCGTTGACCCACCTCAGCTGCGTCAGAGAAGAATCTGATAGATCCAAGGAGACGCCTTGGCGGAGCAATGGAATTGATTTATAGCAAGTCAAGCCCCCCCAAAAAACGATTATTTACCACCATGTTTTTTTTAAACCATTCGTTTAATAGGAATTTACCGTTCTATGTTCTGCAGGTTTGCTATAAGTGGAAATGTGCGGTCAAATCATGGATTTTACCTCCAACTAAAGGGTTTTCCTTTACATAGTCCATTTATCGGAAAGTGCCGTGTGGCTACAACAATTCAGCAACAAATGGTAGGTACCATTGGTACCAATTACATGCACTGCTTAGTCACTGCCTCCAGAGATCTCCACATTCAAATCCTGTAGCCAAAGACCTTCAGGTTGCAGAGTCAAACTCCTCGGCGAGGCCCGCGGAGTCCGGTGTTATCCGTGCGCGCCGTAAGTCACCAACAACGGGGGTGCGGTGTTAAACCATGTTTTCGTAAAGCATAATCCCAAATCTTCATGGGTTCGGATATTCGATATGGTTTATCTAATTTTGGGATGGCCACATTCTCAAATAATTATTGACATAGGAGATGCTCTCTGATGGTGGTCTGGTTTCATGTCTTGGGCGCTAGCCATTTAACTAAAAGAACCATTCGTTTAGCCATAGCAAAGGCATGAACTTATCCATATATCTATCCATGTTATTTCATGTTCATCTTCCCGAGCAATTCCCGTACTCTTTTCTACGTCAACAAATCGCACATAATGGCCTTGCCTCAACAAAGTCTAGCCCAAAACCCTGGGGTGAAGCATAATTCTCTGAATTAAAATTGCTTTCAAGACATCCCCTATGTTTTGACAATCCCAAATCATCACGGGGTTGGTTAGATCTTTCTCTATCTCTCTATTCTATCCCATTATGTCCCATCAAATATCTCCATACAGTATGACAAGTATGTTCCAATTGCAGCTGGTGAAATTTCCCAAATCAACCCAAATCATCATTTCGGTTGGGGCAGCCCCATGCCCCAGCCCGGTCTGTCAACCAGCTGCCTTCCCTCACCATCTTTCGCCCACCGTCGCAGGTGAAAGCTGCGCAACTTTTGGGGCGCCTAAGGCGAGCGATCTGCATGGTGATTCTGCTCACAACCCGTTGCTTACGCGAAATTAATCGATGCATATGACTGACTGCATAATAAATATATACTTCCTGTATGTGTACATATAATATATTATATGTGTGTCATATATTTGACGACGAACAAATTCCCTACCAAAAACACTCACATACTCTCCTGGGCAATATTATGCAATATTTCCAATGGGAGCCATGCCTCAAAGTCGAAGTTCAAGCTCTGCAGGGAGTCGCAGGAAGCTTTGAAGGTCTCCAAATCGGGTGCCTGACGATGTGTATCAGGATGTTTATCGCGGTATGGGGAGAAACATTCAGGGGTTCATGGGTTTTGTTGGCTTAGGAACCTCCATCGCAGTTACAATAGGCATTAATCTGGGCTTAAGTTCGAAGATGTTACAAAAGTGAGTACACTCACTATCAACCAGGAATATAGAAAATGTGAATGTCACTCCTGGACTGCTTCATGTATTGACTCCCATAATTGATCAACCCGGAATTCGTTGTCCCAGATTAACTTTATGTGTATTTGAGGTACCTACCCTCCCGTACTCAAACGCCCCATTTATATATTTAGGACTTTCAATGGCCATGCTGACTGCCAAAGGGTAATCTGTGTAAAGCCTTTATGTAAAGAACAATAGGCGCCTGATCCCAATTGTTTATGCCCATTTGAGGATCTGAGTTTTCAAAATCATACCATGAAAGGATTCCCAATTTGACCCATATCATACGGTGTGTTTCCTGCTGTTTCACACATTGGGTGTGCTTCTGGATCTTCGCATGGAATATCATGGAATTTGAAAAATAGGCATAAACAAAATCTCCTGTTCATGTGGTCATATTGGCATTCTGAATCCGGGCAGGTACCCATTTGTTGGGTAATTATTTGTTGTTTTTTCCCTGAGGCATTAGCCAAAAGATTTTGCTGACGGGCCCTGCTGCCACCCCGCCCCGCACTTCCTTTCTGCACGCAGCATCACGCAGCCACGAGTCTTCCTACTGTGAAAGATTGGCGGGTTTCTAACGTCATTTGAGTTGTTTCATGAAAATTCCATCCTGTTTATCGTGACATGGCTGTCCCTCACAGAATCTATGCAGTGTAGGGTTTGCCAGTGCTCAAAAATCGCCTCATTGGACCCAAAATCGGCACATATCAACTACCAGTACATATATAGAATCTACTGATCCATGTTTTCATGAAACTCGTTAAAACCAAACGTATCAAATCGTATAAACCTCCTGTACTTCACCATCACTGTACTTCGCTGCGCGTTCTGCTAAGCTGCTGGGGAGCCCAATTGGCTCCACCCAGCCGTCTGTCCATCCTCACACCAGCATGGCATGTTCGGAACGCACCAAGTGCCAAATGCCCGTGTCCACACATGCCTGAGACGCCGAAGGCAATAGCGGAGGTGTATTTCATGATGATCTAACCATCTGATTTTTGTCCTTTGTTTCGGTGTTAACAACAAGCTTTGTTAACCATAATCATAACCATCATAAATTTGAATATGTTTGGCCGTGACCATTACATCCATTACACGTTTCTTGAGACTCCAATGCGTGAATGTCAACTCTCTCCATCGCCTTCTCAAGGTGCCTCATGGCTAGCTGTCTGATTCTCTCTGCCCATTTCATTTCCAAATGTTTCTGGATTACTGGGGTGCCCCAAAACCATAGGTTTCGGCATCAAAACTAACCAAGCTTGGATAATTTGCTAGGTCCCATTTTAACAGATCCCATTTGCAAACCCTTCTCCTTAGCCAAGCATGCACTATTTAAGGATGCAACCTCTGGACAACTTTCCTGGTTCTGCGCCGCCACCATGCTTGGCTGTTTGTTTCCCACCTTTTGCCCTGGTGATGTGCAAAAAATGTGTTGGTAGGTAAAGATTGAAAAACCATTGGAACATGTTGAAACCTTCTGATCAAACCCTTCTAATCCGAGAAACACCTTTGGCATATTATCTAAAGTTAGTCATACTCCCAAAACAATCAACAAACCAAAAAAAGTGCGGGTATCAAAACGTCAAAACTCTTGAAACCTTAGACCTTCAACATCTTTGCCGCCAACAAATCACCTCATGGATCCGTTTCTTGCCCTTTTTCACAACCCAGGGACGATAGGTCGATCGCCGTCCCACCAGGTCTCAATGGATTTGTAGAGGCCTGGACCCATCCATGGGGGATAGGTGGATCCCATGGAGAGGGGATCTATGGGGATATATTATGGAAAATCGGTAATTGATAGGGATATGCCATATCATATGTTCAACATGTTTAACCAACTGTAATGTAAATGCCCAAGTTATGCAATATTGATAGGGGTAATTGATAGGTATCTTGTTTTTTCCGCAAGATGTTTCAACTTTATGTTTTAAATCTAACGACATCTCGTGAAGATTTTGAAAGTAAAAGTAGACTAAAACATCCAAAATTTGACACGCAGCAAGAACAAACGTAGTGAAAAGTCTGACAGAACAAAATGCAAACAAACATAAAAATCTAGAGGATGTTGATGTTAACCCTCAAGTTTGGCAAAACCACTGGTGAATGACCCATCTCATGTCCATCTCATTTGGAGATGTTTGGACTTGGGGCAAAGACATACAGAGATCTAAAGCTTGCCGGTTATTGCCCAAAAAAATCGGAGAATGAGAAGTCGTCCAAAACATCGAAACATACAGCAAACAGTTTCTACCCTTCTGGGCCAATGGATTCAATCTTTGCAGGTCCTGCCTCCTGGTGTAAATTTGGAGAGCTGTCCGTGCTTCACTTTTTTGTCCTTACCGGAGATCCCAGCTTCAGAAGGGTTGAGCGATAATGGCTGACACAGATTGGGTGTATCTATTGAAGTGGATTGAAATTCATGTGCCTGAATGTTCTATTGCACCACTACCATGCTTATTATGTGACTTATTTTGATCCATTTTGATTTCCTTGCATGTGAAAGGACAAAACAGCTACCTCCATGCCAAATATATCATTGTGTGCAGTAGGTTTCAGTCCCCTGCGCAAAACTTAATTTCTAAGTCCTCAGCCAGGAATTGTTTGCAAGTACAAAACCGTCATACCAACCAATAAGTAGGCCCAGCATCTTCCCAAACCAAATCAAAACATGTCATTTTGACAACTTTGCTCACCTTCCAACAAATAACCACGATCTCCCACCGGTAAAACACCATTGATCCCCTCTTTTTGTTCCAGCTTCGATGATGGCCTCAGGAGTCAGTGGACAAAAGCCTTCTTTGACGATCACATCAGGGTCGCTGCAGAGGTCCTTGTGAACATTCCTGCGCTGCACAGGCTGCTGTGGCGGCCGTGGCTTCGCCAACAATGGTGCTTGGTGTCACCAAAAATAATGCCTGTGGATCCACACCCTTCCTGCGAGGGTACTTAAACCCCGATCGTGCCCCAAATACGTCCTAGGAAGATACTTAGATCCATAGGGAAAGGTATATGTGTTCACCCATCAGTTTCACACTCTATTGATTGACGTACATGATTGGAATTAAATGCGCCGGGCCAACCAACTGTTGATAACTTTGGGGCTTACCTATGCGATATTGACGTTGCATACCGCCCTCAAGATTCTCCATCTTATCAACATTGTTCGAGATGGATGTTTGTATTCACAAGACACACCTAAACCACAAAACAACATGGACACACCACAAAGATATACTGTATGATATTTAGATTTGCACATATATATATAGTATTATATATAAACACATGTATGATATATATATAATAACATTGTATATATATATACATATACATATATGTGTATGTATTATATACAATATTATATATATAATTAAAATGCATGGAACCTCATACATTGCAGCATCCGTGTCTCAGAATTCTTCTTTGATCATATGATCAGCCATATGATGACACCGAGGACACCATCGAATTTTTATCCAAGGTTCACATATCTCAACCATGGTCCTTCCTGAGCGTCGCTGGAATTCTGGGCTGAAAGGCTGAAAAATGCTGAACCGGGTCTCAAAAAAATAAGAAAAGCAAAATCCGACTAAACAAGGGTTCATGTTGGAAAGCTCTTAGACTTACTATGACTTACTCAAACAAAGTATATTCCTACTACTGATTGCTACTGTAATCCTGCTTTTTAGCTGGCTTGTCATGATGATTTGTTCTTGGATCATATAAGGGGGCCCTGTAAGTGACGCTTCCCGACGCTTCCCCTGTAAGATTCAACCAACCAAAACGCTCATATGTTGATTATATCTGTCCCTTTGGGGTGCTATGCTGATTCTTGCTGGCGCCACCACTGATTCTTTCCTGAAACAAGCTGCTACGGTGCTCCCGATATCCAACCTGGTTTTTTAAAGCAGTTAATCTCTAAATGTCTTGTCTTTTTTGGAGTGGGCAAGGCCGCAAGATTTTCAACAAATATGTGTTTTTTTTCCCGCTCCTGTTTTGAAGATCCGCAGCAAGTGTGTCATCCTGCAGGGAGCAGTGGTACGCGCTAGCATGGGCTAGTTGTAGTTGGGCCACGGGTGCTGTATATACTTTGAGTCATCCAAGGCTGGGATGTTGCATTGACCCAATCCATTGGCTCCGACGGCAAAAGCATTGCCATCACTCCGGATGAGCACTGTATGAAGATCGCCTGCGGAAACCTGGGTGTATGCTAGTCCCTCATCCAAGGCTGGGATGTTGCATTGTCCATCGCTACTATCTCCAATGGCAACAGCACTTCCATCACTGCGCAGAAGCACTGTATGAACACTGCCTGCAGAAACCTGGGTGTATGTGTGAAACTTTACTAGTGAACTACCCCCAAATGAGTAGCGCACGTGGACGGGCACTGAGTGAACAGCGCCGCCACCCAATCCACAGAGCTAAAAAGCCCTGAGCAAATACCAAAAGACCCGCCAGTAATCAACCCCAAAACAAAAGGGGGGAAACCCAGGCCATCGCAAACGACATCAACAGTAAATCATGCAGGGATCAGCATAGCACGTTAAGAGCCATGCCGAAGTTCCCAAATGGTTCGCTGCACAAAAACAAGCCAAGCATGAACACGATCCATGTCAGCATCCACACGAGAAATGACCCACCCAAACCGAGCCACAAGAAACTCACCCGGCTTGGGCGGGATATCCATGTTGCATGGACGACAAGGACAAGACCAAGCAATATGGTCAAAACTGCCAACGTCATGACAACCAGGCCAAATACAAGTGTCAGCAACATCAAGATTTTGGGCACTGTGCAACGCAGCAGGAGAAAAAGAACCCCCTGTCGCCAAAGCACGCGCCTCCGGCCCAGAAGCCGCAAACTTCCGAATACCATCCCAATCAATTCTGTGAAACAAACCGTGGGTGTATGCTAGTCCCTCATCCAAGGCTGGGATGTTGCATTGTCCATCGCTACTATCTCCAATAACAACAGCACTTCCATCACTGCGCAGACGCACTGCACTGTATGAACGCTGCCTGCAGAAACCTGGGTGTATGCTAGTCCCTCATCCAAGGCTGGGATGTTGCATTGTCCATCGCTACTATCTCCGATGCCAACAGCACTTCCATCACTGCGCAGAAGCACTGTATGAAGACCGCCTGCAGAAACCTGGGTGTATGCTAGTCCCTCATCCAAGGCTGGGATGTTGCATTGTCCATCGCTACTAATTATCTCCGATGGCAACAGCGCTGCCATCACTCCGGAGAAGCACTGTATGAAGACCGCCTGCAGAAACCTGGGTGTATGCTAGTCCCTCATCCAAGGCTGGGATGTTGCATTGTCCATCGCTACTATCTCCGATGGCAACAACAGCACACTGTCCATCACTGCGCAGAAGCACTGTATGTTGCATTGTCCATCGCTACTATCTCCGATGGCCTGCAGAAACCTGGGTGTATGCTAGTCCCTCATCCAAGGCTGGGATGTTGCATTGTCCATCGCTACTATCTCCGATGCCAACAGCACTTCCATCACTGCGCAGAAGCACTGTATGAAGACCGCCTGCAGAAACCTGGGTGTATGCTAGTCCCTCATCCAAGGCTGGGATGTTGCATTGTCCATCGCTACTATCTCCGATGCCAACAGCACTTCCATCACTGCGCAGAAGCACTGTATGAAGACCGCCTGCAGAAACCTGGGTGTATGCTAGTCCCTCATCCAAGGCTGGGATGTTGCATTGTCCATCGCTACTATCTCCGATGGCAACAGCGCTGCCATCACTCCGGAGAAGCACTGTATGAAGACCGCCTGCAGAAACCTGGGTGTATGCTAGTCCCTCATCCAAGGCTGGGATGTTGGATTGTCCATCGCTACTATCTCCGATGGCAACAGCGCTGCCATCACTCCGGAGAAGCACTGTATGCGCATCACCTGCAGAAACCATGCCCGAATCAACGCCAATTCGATCTAAGATTGGATGTGCATAAGCGCAGAACGATGACATGGATGGAAATGGGTTAAAATATGATGAACATCTGGTTTCCAATAGGATGATTGCTATGGTTTACTTCCATTTACTCAACCAAATCTTGATGTTGGTGCAGCTACACGGCGCTCTTCGAGCAACCCTTCGAGCTGGAAGGTGGCCTTCCTGAGCATCTGAGTCATCAAACGTGGCAAGCTGGGAAATCTGTTATAAATGTATAGCGGTTTTCATAGGAAAGTCATCTACAAACAGGTGAATTGTCCAATGCCATGTTTGATTCGCAGAGGGCAAATGACAACGTTTGATGAACCAACCGACCAGAAACCCGGGTCTAGCACCGGACCTATTCAGCGGAGATGCCTCGAAAGGTCTGATCCTGTGCCGGAGCTTCCTACGCACTGCCTTGCCTCTAATAATTAAGGGTGGCTACTTTTGTGGAGGAACAGGGTCGTAACGATAAAAGATAAGTCTTGGTCAATCAGCCAGTTGGGCTGCCGTTCCAGATTTGCCGCCCCAGCTTCCGCAGAGAGCGACCAGTAGCCGCGAATCTGAACCTTGAAGAGTGCGGGGTCCGTTGGCTGCAGCTGGATGCCCACCAGGGCGCCAACATGTATAGCAACAATGCTTATTACAATATATATATACTCATTTATTTATTTATCGATTTATTTATTTATATGGGATACTCAGATCTGCAATCATTTGCGCCATCTGGTGAATGTTAATTGGTTTCCGTAGATGGACGAAATATTCAAACCCCTTCTATCCGGTACAACCCCCCCACCCCCAAAGTTCAATGTTATTGTAACCTGAAGTGCATTAGCCCCAATGGACGAAAAAATCAAACCCCTAACATCGCTTTTGCTAACACGCGCGCTGAAACATTGAGATTTGGGGGTGCGGGGGTTCAACATAGTGCGTGCTGCAGGGTTTGAATATTTTGTCCATCTACTGTATCTTGCATGGAGCATACTGGCATACTTGGGTGTGAGGATTTTTTTACCAGCAAAGTGCAACAGAGAAGTATATCTAAGCAGCAAAACGGTGGATCCTGGTGGACTCAAAAGAAGAAAGATGAGAATGGGGATTAGCGGGGATCTCTCTACCACAATTCAGCACCAACGTGAGATGGTTCAACCCCTCCAAGAGCAGATAGTCTAGTGTCTGAAAATGGGGAGGCCTCCAAATGGCAGTTTTAAAAGAGATAACTGGGTAATCTCGATGAGCCCAAGACGCCCCGACGTCCATCCACCGAGAAGCGCTGATGTTTGAAATGGTCTCCTTGACCATGGACCTGCCCTGCACCTTCCGTGAAGGCAAGGAACGCTGGTTTGGTATTACTTTTACATCTATGCAGGAACATGCAATCATGTGTCAATTTCAGAAGTAGATATAGATAAAATATTGCACGCACACTAAAATACGTGTATTTATATATATATATGTGATATATATATATATATATATATTAGGTATCCCATATCATAGGCTATGTGCATATATGCAAGCATATCTACAATACGTACAGAGAAGTAAATATGAACAAAAACAGAAACACGTAGACACATAACTATAATGTTAACTCAAATCCAAGACATGAAAATATCATATCCATTCATCTCCATATACCTTCTCCCTCTGGTAATCAAGCATGGCAATGAAAAATCACCCATTTGATCTTTGTACAAGGTCTTATCCCATTAAGACACCATCGATAGAGGATTTCCCATGCAATATCCATATATATAATGTTTCGGATATTAAGATCTTAATTGGAAAATAATAATCATATCCCGCTATATCATTGATATGGCTATTGGACATTAGTTGGGCTTTTTTATTGGACGTTTTATTGATACGTGATAATAAAATCCAAGACTATGTCATTGATAATGATTTATATACATATACACACATATATATATATATATATATGCTGGTACTATTTGTTACTAATGCTGGGTATTGGACATTAGGATACTAATATTAATATCCAAATAGAACATAGCTATATAATAATCCTAATGGCCTAATGGATACTAATGCTATTGCCAAACTATTATAATTATCATCTATGCGATATAATATCTATATATATATATATATCATCTACAGTAATTGCTAATATATATATATATGCATTCTAATATCCCATCCGCATGCTGATTCCTCACATCTAGCCTCAATGGTGAAGAAGGGGTCGTCCAAGTGCACCACATCCGCTTCGCCCCGGGCGTTCAGCTCCGTGACGTTGGTAAAATGCACCAAGGCTTTCAACGAGGAGTACCTCTTCCATGCCAGAAAACACTGGAAATTCCGTGAAAATCTGGGTTTTTTAGAAGCATGCTCTAACTATAGCTGAGAAACCTTATTTAAAAAAAAAACAAAACCGAGATCATATGAAGATCATGGTCCATTCAAAAACTTGAGAACTCCAAGTTCGATAAACTATTCGAAACACTAGAATCTTAGAACTAATTAGCTAGAGTTAGAGAAGAACTGGAAGAACATTTTTCTTAAGATATTGGATCATATGGCATGATGTCACCTTGAATGCTTCAGAAAACACCAAACTATATCAAACAAGCGCCTCTAGGAAACCTACATGCTTATTCCTGGCAGAAACCATCATTGCGGTGGCCTCAGCCCAGTTCACCCATTGAAATTCAGCTCCACGAAATTTGACCCGTCGAAAATCACAATGGATTTCGAAACATGTAATATATATATAATGCATATACGCAGGGTAACCAAAGACTGCACATGCAGGGGTACCGGGGTACTGCACGGAACTTGCATCCACCATAGAACGCCTACACAGCCATGGCAGTCATGGCATTGGCCAAGATTTACCCGAGAATGTTGCGCTTCTGCAAGCAACAAATGCCGGTTAGTCTGAAGCCATCTCTCAAAAATGTGACAAGCAATTTTAAGGATCATCTCCCAATTACCAATAATCAGGGTTACCCCAACACCCCCCAAACACAAGGGGCTACAGAAGTGAATGCACCTATTGCCCCTTTGGCCACCACTTCCCTAACCTGATATTTCCACCGATGAACCGAATTCTTCAATAACACCAACACCACCAATAAACATCACATACCATCGATTGGAGCAACCTGTTGCAAGTCCCACCAACATCAACATTTTCGGCCATGGCACTTGGCATCTTGTCTGCAGCAGCCCGTCCAGTCATCGCCGCAATCTTTCCATCCACTGGCTGCTGCGGTGCCCAACAGTGCGGCGAAAAGCCGCAAGGCCATGGTGGGTGCTGTGCACGGCGGCGTGAACCACGTCGTGAAAAACGCTGCAGCTGGGCATGGGAAAGATGGGACAAGTATGGAAAAATAATGGGGATTAAACACATTAAAAGGGTGGTTACGCTAATAAACTATCCGCAAGTGGGATTTACAATGATTTGAAATGGTTCCCGCTGGGGATGGAGTACTGCCATACTAGTTCTCTTAAACATGTCATCCCAATGGCTTTACAGGAGAATATCCACCATGCTTCTTGCTGAAACCCCACACAGAAAATACCTTTGTCATCCTTTATCGCTTTAATTAGTATGTAAATCCATGTAAATCCCCATCAAATCTTGAACTGTTCCATGGTGAAATCATTGAAATCCCCCATAAATCTCCAGTTTTTTGTGAAAATCCCATAGAAATCCCATAGAAAATCCACAATGTTTGCCTCACATCCTGGCAGTCGGTCAACCCGGTTCCCCCCACCTGCACGGTGAGTTCTTCAAGTGCCAGGAAATCCAGAAGCTCCAGCTCCACAAGGCCTGCAAGGTAGGGGAAACCATGGGGAATATATAGCGAGATGTAACACGACTAACTAACAAATCTAGCAATAGTTGTAGTTGGGATTGACCAACTACATCTACAGAATGTAATTGGTTAAAAATCCGTAGTATGACCAACCTAACATTTTAACAATTCCATCCCCCGGTCATATTAAACACCAACCGGAGTCACCATGGTCATCATGGTAAATGTAAGGGATAAAACCAAAGAAAAAGGGCCCATGGAATAGGGGTGATGAACCATCCATTCTTATAAAGACCAGCCAGACATGTTTGGGTCATTTTGGGTCTATGCAGTCAACTGCATACTCATGCAGTGGTGGCGAAATTGTTGGTCCCTGATGCCCCAGTGGCTGAAAAAATTGTGCCAAAGCCCGTCTGTGTTATTTTCATTCCACCATGATCCAAAGAAGGGGTAAATAATGAAACAAAATGTTGAAAAGACATCAAAAGAACCAACTGCCAATTGCTACAACATGTCTGCCACTTGCGGGTCTGTTGGCTGTTGAATATGGATCTCTATGCCATAACGCCCTTGGAAGTCCCTCAGCCAATCAACGGCGGCGGTCCTTACACTCCAAAGGAGCATTGCCAGTGGGGTGGGGCTTAACCGCATAAAACCATTTTAAGTGATATTTGATCCACCAAACATGGTAAGCACAAGGGCTCCTGTCCGTGCCAGCTGTAGTTTAGCAGCTATGTCAGGGCGGGTGCTGAGTACTTTGACCTCAGCAACTGAGGCTCCTGGATTCATGCGGCACACTTTGGCCAACAACTGCCCATCTGGCACAACGAGTTGGAGACTTGGGAGGTTCATCTTCAATTCACGGGCAATCCTTTTGTGCGTCTCCCAGGCCGAATCAATGCCCTCTACGGTCAAGCGAATGCGTTCTTTGCCAACCAAAGTCGAACATATCAGGGTGACTGCATCATCTTCACCCACAAGCTCTAGTTGTAAGACTAAGTCTCTGCCACAGGAAAAATCGCCCACGTAGCAAATTCCTGGTTCTGGCAACGGAATGTCGCATTGCCCATCTCGATTGCCTCCGATGCCAACAGCGCTGCCATCACTCCGGAGAAGCACTGTATGATAACGGCCTGCAGAAACCTGAGTGTATGCCATTCCCTCATCCAAGGCTGGGATATCGCTGCAGTTTTCTCCGACGGCAACAGCACTGCCATCAGTCCGCAGAAGCACTGTATGAGCGTCCCCTGCAGAAATCTGGGTGTATGCCGTCCCCTCAACCAAAGGTGGGATGCTGCATTGTCCACATTGGTTGTCTCCGATGGCAACAGCACTGCCATCACTCCGCAGAAGCACTGTATGAGCATAGCCTGCAGAAACCTGGTTGTATGCTATTTTTTCATTCAAGGCTGGGATGTTGCATTGTCCATGTGCATTGTCTCCGATGGCGACAGCCCTGCCATCACTCCGGAGAAGCACTGTATGACCAAAACCTGCAGAAATCTGAGTGTAGGCCATTCCCTCATCCAAAGGTGGGATGTTGCATTGTCCACATCGGTTGTCTCCGATGGCAACAGCGCTGCCATCACTCAGGAGAAGAACTGTACGATGCCCACCTGCAGAAACATGGTTGTATGCTATTCCCTCATCCAAGGCTGGGATGTCGCATTGTCCAACTGCATTTTCTCCGACGGCAACAGCACTGCCATCACTCCGGAGAAGCACTGTATGAAAACTGCCTGCAGAAACCTGGACGTACGTAATTCCCTCATCCAAAGGAGGGATGTTGCATTGTCCATATCGATTTCTTCCAGTGGCAACAGCACTGCCATCACTCCGCAGTAACACTGTATGAACGAAACTTGCAGAACACATTGCTGGAAGCAAGGGCGTGATGGACCTACGGCATTAACTGTAGACATGCACTTTTGTTATCTAACTTTGGCGGCAGCAACGGGATTATGTTATTTGAAATGGCCAGAGCTACATGACCTGCCCGCTGCCCCCCTGTTCTTTTGCAGAATTCGTGGATCTGCCAAATGCCTCAGGTGGTAAACAGGCTGGATGCTGATGGATGCTGTTGACGTTTTCCACTTGACATTCGCTAGTTGCTGCTAGTTCTGTTTCTTGGTGTCCTTCTTGTTGATAAACAAAATATACTTTTGAGGTTGCGACATTGTTACAGCCATGATTCGTTCCCGGTGGAAAGCAAGTTGGAAAATGGATGTTTGACCACTCCGCCCCACGCATTGTTCGTCCCACCGGAGCCCTTTTTTTGGTGTTCCGTTGTTTTTCTTTCTTGGTACCGGCAAACCTTACCCAGCAAAAACATAGCACATCGGCACTAATGTATATGTAAATCAACCCATGGTTGGTTTTCATGGCCTAATGATCTGACACAACCAACCACTCACTTCAATAAGACTGGCATGTTTGTTGTTTGTTCACTGGCAATGTTGTTTCATTTTTTTTGCTGGCTATGTGCATAATTCTAGCTTGCTATAGTTGAAACCGCCAGGTATCAAATAAAAAATATCAATTATCCCCACATCATGACACCTCGGATCCCTCCAGCTTTTCTCCAAGTCTTTACGGGAAATCCCAAAGGGAACCCACACCAACAAAAAACATATGGGGTAATTACAGTAGTGATTATATATACAGTAATGCATTTCATATCGTTCCATTATGGAAAAATGATGAAGGTGCTTTAAAAAAACATAGTTGGCTTATTTAATATCAACTCCATTCTATGATGGTAAATTCCCAAAAAAAAACATTGTTTACATGTCAAACAATTCAGAATAATGTTACTCTACAGTAAAGCAAATGCAAACCATCCCAAAATTTCTCATTGGGTGCTATAAAACATCAATTTATATTGCTCGTTTCTTATTGCTTTGCTAATATCATCCCATATAGGGAGGTTTCATCATCCATTTTAATAAGTTATTCCGTAAAAATCATCCATTTAACAGGTTTTTCATGTTTTTTTCCATAAGATATTTCCATATAAACCATCCATCTTAGGCTACCCCCCATGGCTTAGGAAACCCCCATGTCATCCCCCTGACCCCTCCCCACACCTGCTGCCGCCAGGTGCAAACGACGCAAGCTCTGTCGCAGCCGTTGCGAGGAGAACGCCAAGGCAACACGCGGCGCCTTGACGTAGAGAAGCCGGGCGTGGGTTTTGAGCCGGAAGATGTGGGGATTTGATGATGTTTGATAGGGATTTAAGCAGCACGAAACATGGGGGTCTAATCTAATATGGTTTTATGGATATTCGAGATGATTTAATAAGATTTAATAAGGATGAATCTGGTTTGATGATGTCTACTGGCGCTTTGTGGGCTGTAAATAGTTTCAAAAAAATATGATGGGATTGAGTGGGAATTGATGGGAGTAAACACTAATATTATACAATATTTAATATTGGTGTTAATCCCATTTCACGGGAATTCATGAAGATAGCCGCTAGCATTGATACCGTGTTAACGGGCATCAGGGAGTGAATAGATTTTGGGATATGGCCATCCCACTGTTAGCGGGGTTGTTCATACTAGTGGGTGTATCTCATTTGCTTCAAGTACATATCCATGTTGATGGTTAAACCGAACCCAATTTAACTCCATCACACCCGATTAACTACAATCAAACCCTGTTTCACTCCCATAGACCCGCATCAAAGCCTTATTTAACTCCACTTGCCCCATTTCTACTCCCATGCGCTGTCATTAGCCCCGGTTTTACTACATATGTGCCGTGGTCAAGACTTGGCTTATCGATCCATATTAGGATGGTCACAACCAAATGAACAGGGATTACTATTTCAGGTGCCATAAATGAGAATGGGACAATCAACAATCAATGGCTTTGAAGAGATAAGCTCGGAGTGCAACCCGCAGTGAATAGGGATATGATGCAACTGGCGAATGGGAATTTACCAGGAAATAGTAAAACCGATATATAACCCCACTTGTTCCCCACCTGCCAGGTGAGGGTTGTTAGATTTTATCACAGTTGTTCTCCTCCTCCTCCTCCTGCTCCTCCTCCGCCAGCATCTCCTACACCACCTCTGCCTCCACTTCCACTGTTGCCTTGCCAACTCTTCGCCAAGCTCTTCGCCAACGTCCGAGCTCAGTGCGCACCGCTGGACCTCAACGGCCAGATAGAATGCCAGAAGATATGCCAGATAAAATGCCAGAAGATATGTCAGATAGAATGCCAGAAGATTTGCCAGTACCAAAATGTATAAATGTCATGGTGGGGATCACACGAAGTAAAGTAATTGGTTTTATGTTTGTTGTTTGACCTTCTGGCAACAAATAGGAATAAATGTCAAACAGCATTGTTTTCTTAGGAACATGATCTACAAGTGGTATAAAAGGTCTTCCACATCGATGTTGTTGTAATCGACCCGCAGGTAATCGCAACCTTATAGCATTAGGGGGTTGAATCTTTGGCAAAGCATAGGGCATTCTAGATTTAAAAAAAGCATGCACAAAACAGCATCCAAAATGGCACTGGAAACTATGGACATGATGGTCCATATATGAACCTACTTGTATGGGAACGTCATCTATGCAGTACATGGATAATTCTATCGGGGGCTATCCAGCCAGCCAAGGTAGATTGCTGGAAATGCGTTTTGAAACGCTCTTATTATCCATGAATGAAAGAAGGAATGATGTACCAAACCATGGTCAGGGTCAATTGTATATGTCATATATCCCCTACTTTTTTACAATAAACAGAGCAATTGCGTCTCCATTTGCTGATGTTTTCTACTATTTCAGCATCAACAAGCTGATCTTTAACCCTTGTAATTTACTGTGCAAATATCATGACATATCTGGGGGCGCCTGAGCAACATAATGCTCCTGCAAAACGCATGAGTGCACCTTCTGCTTGTTCAAGAAGTACTGGTTACCCGGTTCATGGATATTCATGGCAGGTGTTGTGGGAACATGTTTTTAACACCATGAGATGGAATAGGGTTCCAAAGACTTGCAAGTGGTGCATTTTGGTGGAGAATGCCCACAGAATCCTTGTCTCCACACAAAATGGGAATTTATTATAGATGTATTTCAACATATGATTACAGTAATGGTGATGAAATATCCGATTTTGTTTACCTATCATTTCCTAAATGTTATCATATTACATATTCTTTTAAACCACCAACCCATGACCAACAAATATATATATATATATATCAACTGGCAACATCCCATTTTGGGAGGTGTCCTAAATTCCAAAATTTCATGAGTTTTACTTCATTTAAATCATCCCATTTTTGGGTCCATAAAACCATCCAGCTATTGGGGTCCCCATGGCTCGCACCGCTGCCTCTACAAGTTGCAGCTCGTTGGGCGCTGGCGCCAGCTTCTCCAGCGCCCGATGGCAGCCGCACAGCGCGGCCGCGCTGCGATCGCCTGGAGCGATGGTGGTATACCTACCCCTCTGAAAAATATGACAGTCACTTGGGATGATTATCCCATATATTATGGAAAATAAAAAATGTTTGAAACCACCAATCAGAAAGCCACTCGGGATCTATTTATTCCCAACTGAATTGAACAATAACATTTTTTTTAACCACCAACCAGCTGTTTATGGGAATGATGGGATCAAAAATGACAATGATCAACATCAATGTTGGATGTTGATTCGTTGGAGATTGTTTCACTTGGCTTATGGGATTGTCATGTGTTGATGGAATTCACCAAATGAAACCATAACATTGGGATTGCTTCTCATGATGTGGTAACTTATGGGAAATAGATTAATATCATGAAGTTATGAACATAAATGTTGGAGCTCACCGGGCGAAAACATAAATCAACAGCTGAACCAGGTGGATTTAGTAACTGTTTTTTTTGGAATTTGTGAAGTGGATAGAACCGGGAGAACTGATGAGAACTGAACAGTGGGTAACTGTCATGGGATAATTCAAAACATGTAGTGATACCTTGGCCATGTAGAAGTTGATGACCTTGTTTGTCTAGTTGTTCAAGGTTTTTTTGGGGAAGTATGATGGGTAAAGCCAAACATATATTCTGAAATATAGAGAAGGGGACACCATCTGTCATCATTACATACCGATTGGTTGTGAAAAAAACAGTGGTGGGCCCTCTAATTATCAACCAACCATTGGAAAAAGGATATCAATTGAAAACAGGCGGGGTGCTCCGGTATCGCGATTGGCTGGTGGAACTGGGTTTGCGTCACATGAACTACTTCTGTATAAATTTTGAAATCTACATTCAGCATCGAACAGCAATAACATCAAAATTGATGTGCCATCACACATTGCACATCATCAAAATTCTTGGCATTTTCAGGCAGACAGACTCACAGGATCCCAGATGTTTGGTTTGCTACCATTCGTCCATCATAAATAAACTCGCCCCTTTTCTTCTCAATGAATGCTTGGCAAGCCGGATTGCTGGGCGTCTTCTGCACCTTCAATCCGGATTGATCATTCACGGGGCCGAAAGACAGAAACCGGAAACCACACAGAAATGCCACAAACATATCTCTCTATAGAGTTTTTGCCACAAACAAAAAAAACACAAAACAGCTTTATATCCTTTCATCTGGACCCTGGGCTGATCACTCTACGACCCTCATTGGGGTCTTTGTACGGAGGAACGCTTGGTACATGAGCTGCGGAGCGTCGATGACATCCTTGGTGCCAAGCCATGGTGAATCCATTCCAATCTGTGCAACATATGACCAAATGAACCAAGATGATATTTAACATGGAAGACCCCCTATGAAAAAACACACATTTGCTTATAATCATTGTTAGTGGCTAATTCATCGAACTCACTTTTCCATTAAATTTCCAATTCCCTGTACATCCCGCTTTAAAGCCATGTACTTCCATTAAACCGCAACTAGATACTGGATTAAACATCAATCCAGTTGCAACGACCCAAACATCCCCGATCTTCACCTTCAAATGGAGCCGTTATCCCTGCTGAAAAAATGGTGTTCACTGAAGGTAACTGTCAAAATTTTCAGAATGTCAATTACATGCCCTAGAAAACTCATAATATTTAATTATATAGTTACTAATATAGATATAGACTATAGACATTAGATATGGAACATCCACCATGTGTAGATCATGTCCGAATGGGAAACCCATGGGCTATGTCCCGTACACCTGGGATCACCCAAATTGCCCCAAGATCCACACTGAAAAACAAATTTGGATGATTTTCTGGTTGGAGGTTTCAACCCCTCTGAAAATATGAAAGCCAGTTGGGATCATTATTCTCAATATATGGAAAATAAAAAGTGTTTCAAACCTCATGACATTGATATTAACCATTATTAACCATATTAACCAGTTTTGTTTTTGATAAGTTGTTATTGTTTTGATCATTTGGATGATTTTCCAGATATCCCCGGTGGGTTGATCTGTACAAAATCATCATCTCCGATGATAGCCTTCTGGTCGCTATTTGTAACAAGTTTCACGTTGAACATGCCCAGTGTTAACAGGTCAATCATCGAAGCCTCCACAAAAAGTTCCATGAGTTCAGAGATTTCCAAGCCAGGCATGTTTGATTACCGGAGACAGGAGGTATATTCCAAGTATCGTCCCAATCATGTTGCCTATATATATATATATATATCCCTTATAATTCCATATAGTTCCCTTATAAATTTATCAATCCCCTATAAAATCCCCGTTCAATGGATATCAATTCCCTATAATTCCCGATAAATCTCCTATGATGGCCCAAGCTAAGCCTAAGGTAAATGGACCATCAGCAGAAAACATAGCTATAACAGATCCAGGCTTTGGATCATGGCCAGGTTTGATGTGGCCCTGGAAAATAACCCATGAGAATAAAGGATAATAAAGGATAAACACATATGTCATATACCAATAATGTAATATCAGGTAATTTCACATAGCGAAACCATGGCCCATTAGATCCATTTAGTGAATTTTTAGTTGAAGGATTTGCAGATATATCCGATATTAACATAGAATTGGATGATGGGACAATTTACAGGAAAGCCCTATATTTTAAGGTAAAAACCATGGTTTCCTGTAGATTTTCTCTTAAATTAATCCAATGATATTAACAATGGTGATTGTTCCATAGTGAACTGTTACATGTGTATAACTTGGTTGAACCTGGCAGTCACTGCATGGACGCTCATGTCCCCAAATATCATATGAATCATCAATGTTCCCACGTTCAAGTGGCAGCTTTGGGGTGCCCATGTCCGGAACAACCCTATGTGCCATATTGATATTTATATTGTGGATGAGTTATGCCCTGTGTGAAATATCCCATGTGTATTTACATGTGTATATAACTGTATAAATGAGTGTGTAGTAGATCCCAGGGTATATCTCATCAAATGGTTGGCTACTTGCATCAAACGAATCATGACATGGGATTATGAACCATTGAGTACCTGGGGATATCCCACAAATTACAGCATTGTTATTGATCGTAAATGGGATGCACCCGGAAGCAACTATCATGCGTAAGGACACCAACCAACGAGTGGATAGACTTTGATCATTGTTTCCCTGATGTACACATCCCACTACTCACCAACCATGGTTTTCTCAAAACACATGCGCATTGTTTGTGGGTCAAATATATCCCTTGCAACAGGACATCCACTGAGTCCGTACCTGCCCAAGAGGTGAACATTTCCTATCTCCATCAACTCTATTGCTTGCGGTCATCTTCTAGATTCACATGGTACAAAAACAGGGCACCCCAATTTTCTCACTGCTCATCATCATGTTTACCCTCTGGTACTCAAACATGACTTGCTGGAAAAACCTCCGTTGAGTTTCATGATTCCTCCATGTAAATGCCCATTCAGTTCTTCCAGAGGGTATCCCATTAGATATCCCATGAAATCTTATCAAATATGCGTTATTGTCTATTGATCTCTATATTGATATCCATTGTGGTCCATTATCAATCACTCTTAATCCACCATGAAAACCCATTACCAGTCCCAGTCCTCCAAGTGATTCAAGTGACTGTGGTGCTGTGAAGTGTGCTGCGGTTGTCCCAGACCACGAAGTCTCCGGGCGACCATTCGTGGACGTATACCTGAGCGATGGACAAATTTCCTGTTGAGAGCTTCCATTAAGTAGAGGGATTTAACCAGAAATTGCATTAATACTGTTAATTAAAGGGATTATTAGGACAAATACTGTTAATTAGAGGGATTTACCAACAGAAATGGTGACTCTCAACTCATTTGTGTTTAGTTTAATTCAATTAATAGATTAGCTCAAGGGAAAACAGTTTTTCCTATCGACCATAGTGGTTTCCGGTTTCCCTTTCAATCCCCCTTCCATTTTGGACTTGAATCGCATTGTGCCCAATATCCAATTTGGTCACGTAGGGTCTTTAAAAGCCAAGGCCGCAATAATTGAGTCATTGAGTTGATATAGGACCCAGTATGACCCAGTCACCATGGTAGGGTTCAACCATCCACTGGCAATCAGCGGCTTCGCGGCTTCGCATTTTCATTTCACGCGCGGGTCAAAGCACGACCGAAGGCGTCCTCTGGTGCTCCTGATATTCAACGTGTTTAAGCAAAACTATTGCCTTTTGTCTTCTTGACTCGTCTTTTTGGGGGACTGGGAAAGGCTGCAAACACTTTGAAACAACATTCACCCAGTGTAAAAATGTCGAAACTTATTGTCCGACGCATGCCCCATCCTCCAGGCAGCAGTTCTATGCGCTAGGTTTAGAAAGTAAGGGTCGCGGGTGCTGTGTACTTTGCATCACCTCGGCAACCAAGGCTACTGGATTTGCATGGCAGATTTTGGCCAACAATTGCCCATGTGGCAAAATGAGCTGGAGATTAGGGAGGTTCACATTCAATTCACGGGCAATCCTTTTGTGCGTCTCCCAGGCCGAATCAACCCCTTGTGAGGTCAAACGAAGGCATTCTTCCCCAACCAAAGAAGAGCATATCAGTGTGATGTCATCATCCTCGCGAACGAATTCTAGTTGTAAAAGTAAGTCTCTGCCATGTGTCACATCCGTAATGTAGAAGGTTCCCGGCTCTGGCAATGGAATGTTGCATTGTCCAGTTCTATTGTCTCCGATGGCAACAGCATTGGCATCACTGCGCGGAAGCACTGTATGATAACATCCTGCAGAAATCTGGGTGTATGCTGTTCCTTCGTCCAAAGCTGGGATGTTGCATTGTCCATGTCCATTGTCTCCGATGGCAACGGCACCGCCATCACTCCGGACCAGCACTGTATGACCCCTGCCTGCAGAGATTCGGGTGTATGCAATTCCCTCATCCAAAGCTGGGATGTTGCAATGTCCATCTACATTGCTTCCAATGGCGACAGCCCTGCCATCACTCCGGAGAAGCACTGTATGACCAAAACCTGCAGAAATCTGGGCGTAGGATATTTCCACATCCAAAGCTGGGATGTTGCATTGTCCACTTGTATTGTCTCCAATGGCAATAGCACAGCCATCACTCCGGAGAAGCACTGTATGATACCAACCTGCAGAAATCTGGCCGTGGGCCATTCCCACATCCAAAGCTGGGATGTTGCATTGTCCACATCGATTGTCTCCGATGGCAACAGCACAGCCATCACTGCGGAGAAGCACTGTGTGACCAAAGCCTGCAGAAATTTGGGTGTATGCTATTCCTTTCTCCAAAGCTGGTATGTTGCATTGTCCATGTCGATTGTCTCCAATGGCGACAGCATTGCCATCACTCCGGAGAAGTACTGTATGAAAACCGCCCGCAGAAACCTGGACGTACGTCATTCCCTCATCCAAAGGTGGGATGTCACATTGTGCATGACGGTTAAATCCAATGGCAATAGCGCTGCCATCACTCCGGAGAAGCACTGTATGACCCCTGCCTGCAGAAGCCATTGCTCGAATCAAGGCCAATTTGATCTAACATTTAATATGTTTTGGTTTTCAAGGTGCGGAAACGCATAACGTGGAAATGGGCCAAAATATGATGAACATTTGGTCCCAAATAGGATGATTGGAATGGTCTACTTAGCGCATTTGACCAAATAGCTACAGTACGAGTACATGGTGTCGAGCATAACATCCGACAATGGCACCCTCCCGCAGGGGCTCCGTACTTTCTATGATTTTTGGTGATGTCTTCGTGTCCTTCTTGGTCCTGCAAAAGAACTTCTAGGGACCTATTACTATGAACACCCCCCCATTGTTGTACAAACAGCACTTTGGCTTTAAATCACCCACAAGCCACATATCCCTTTGACCCCCATCCGCATCTCCGCTGCATCCATCGATTTCGAGGTACTGAGTCTCCGGAGGTTCCTGGCAGTAGCAGCTGCTCCAATGCCTCTCCAGCCTCGTGGAAGGACTCCATGCCCTCGCAGGAGTCCAGGAAGACCTGCACTGGCGTGGCGTTGAAGTGGCCGTAACAAATGGTGCCAACAAAGTGGTGGTTTCATATGGTTTCATAGGTGTTTTATAATGGGATTTGAGAATGATTGAAGTATGATTTTAACATATTTTAACAATTTAACAATGATTTAGCGCTGATTTTAACAATTTAACAATGATTTAACGCTGATTTAATGATGGCAAACGATGGTTTCATAATTTTTACTGGTGGCTGAACTTAATGGTGAACCCGTGCTTTTTCAGGATCCGAAGATTGGGGTTGAAGTGGTTGAACCAGTCAATCCATTCTCCATCGATTACGAACCATTATTGCCACATTGTTAACCCCACATTAACAAACTCTGGTTGATGAATCCCTTCGGCCTGATATTGAACCTCCCAGTCCCTATAAACCTTGGTTTAGTATTGGATCTGTTCAGGAGGGTTCCATATAGGCGTATGTAATGTATAAGAGGCTAAATTGACATTAGTTATAAGGTAACCCTCCAAATAGGGATCAGCTGTCATCGATATGGTCAGACCGCATCGATAGGGTAGGGATGGGGGGGTCTTCAAGGTGGGGGGGGGGGGTCTTCAAGGTGGGGGGGGGTCTTTGCCGAACCCTGTGGCCCAGGCCCCCCCGCCCGCTCAAAAAGAAGAAGGGGGGGGGAGTATTTAAGGGGGGGGGG